AGTCGGTTAAGCATCCAACTCTTGATTTCAGCTCAGGTCATGACCTCTAGGTTCATAAGTTCTAGCCTGCATTGGGCTCCATGCTGACAGCAGGTAGCCTGCTTGGGATTCTCTCTCTCTCTCTCTCTCTCTCTGCCCCTCCTCTGCACTATCTCTCTCTCTCTCTCTCTCTCTCCCTCTCTCTCTCTCACTCTCTCTCAAGATAAATTAACTTTAAAAAAAGGAACCAGCTCAGCAGCCAATGCATGTAGTACCCTGGTCCTGTTAGTGTCCCCTCAGTGTTGAAGAGAAGTGAAGAGATGGGAAGGAGGAGGAGATCCCAGGCACTCCGATTTTTTTTAAGACTCTGCCCAATGTTCTCCTCCCCCCTCCTTCACTGCTGCCTTGGAACCTCACCATTATTTACTCTTTTGAAATAATATGGCAGTAATATGGTGAAAAGTACACAGAATTTGTAGTCAAGCTTTCTGGTATGACCATGTTTGGGTGCATTGCCTGGCTGCCCTAGGGCTCAGTTTTCTGTGTAAAAAATGGAGATGGTAAAAATGGTGGTTGTAAAGGTAAAAGTGGGATAAATTGTGTACAGTGCCAAGCAGAGGGCCCATTATTAAAAGGTATTCTTAGATATTAAGGACATTAACAGATCCTGGAGCACCTGCAAACACTGTTTGGAGGAAGAACCATGAGCCTTCAGTTATGGCCTGATCCTTTTTTATTTGGCACATTAGTAGAGAAAACCAGCTCAGAAAGATAATTGTATTAAAGGAAAGGGGTGGAGAAGTAGTGAGGAAGGTGGGAACTCTTCCAAGGCCTGCAATACTGGTCCTGGAATAAGGCACGCTCTCAGCGCCTTGCAGAGCGGGGTGCTATAAGAGGCAAAGCAAATGCGTGTGCCAAGAACTGAAGGAAGGAGCCCGTGCAGCCTAAGCATTCTTGGATGCACTAAGCACTTGGCAGGTTTATACACTTGCACTCTGACGTGGGTTCATTACTAAATATCTGAAGTCGTTGGAGATTTTTCAAGACGCAGGTTGGATTTCTTGCAATGTGCATCTGAGCACCCGGACTGCTCTGCAAACCTAACTACCGCTCCCTCCAGAATGCACGGTGGGATCTGATCGCAAAAACCCAGTGCAAGCAGCCTCCAAGCTAATCGTTTCGTCTTAATCACTAGCCAGATACGCAGGCTTTGAGTGTGAATGGAACGGAACCAGACAGTCCTATCCATCATTCACCAAGTTCTAGGCGGGGTATGCCGCTCTCAGAGCCCAACGCAGGATAGACTAACAACTTCGCTTCAGTGTGCTTGGGCTGCTGAGGGCTCCGCGCTTTCCCCAACCACCCCTATCTCTCTTTTTCCCTGAGGAAGCAAGGCACACTGCGTCCTCTGCAGTCTGGGGAACATCGAAGGTTGAGCGGAGGAATATGTTACAAACATTTCGCCGCGAACTCCTGGACCGAGAGTGAAGTTTTGCCTCTCGCCACCAAAAACTGCGTTCTCGATACAGCACAGCCCCATCCTCCAATCAGATATTTCGTCCGAGTTGGGAGTAGTCAGTTAAACTGCAAGTTGGAGTCACGGCTCCCCACACAAGCATGCCCACTACCAGCACCACTCTGACAAACACTCGCCCTATTTTACTAACACGCCCTGGCAGCGAGCGCGCCCCCGTCAGGTCCCACTGACAGCAACTAGAGGTAACGTGAACGCTAATAGAGGACCTCTAACTGACTCGAGCGTGTACACTTTGAACCTGCTGGGGGCAACATACCCCCTATATAAGGCGCTCCAGCCTCAGACTCGGCGCCTGAAGAGGTCCGGGAGCCAGAAGTACACCCCACCGGGCAGTTGGTCCCAGCTCCTGACGCCACCCAGGGTTCGCCGCGGACCCCAGGAAAAAGTCTATGTATGCGCTGGGCTTCATCGACAGTACTTTGGACATGGAGAGTAATTTCGGGTGCAGCCACTACGACGTGGGCTTCCGCAGCCTGGGGGGCGGTAGGGAGGAGGAAGAACAGAATGGTCAGTGCCTAGACGGGGACAGGTGCTTTGGCAAACTCCAGGGGAGGAACTTTCCCTGGGAGGGGTGGGTGCGCGGGACGCTGCGAGGCTGTCGCCACTATCTTTCATCGTGACCCCACGGCCCCTCCAGCTCACGTACGGTGGGCCCGTACCCTACGGTCTCTCTTTTGCTTTCGTCCTTTCCCAGAGACGAAGCCTACCTTGGCCTCGTTGCTTTTAAGTGGAAGAGAGGAGAATACAGCGTCCGAACCTAAGTGCGGAGCGGCTGCAGTAAACTACGTTGGCATGAGAGAGCCGAACCCCTTCGACGACGAAAACCTGGAGGGCGGCTTTGGTGGCGGCTTGGCGCCCCCGCAGCAGCTGGAGGAGCCGCCCCCCCCGGCTGCGGTGAGGCCACTGATCGCTGAGAGGAAGCAGCGCCGCTACCGCACCGCGTTCACCCAGTTGCAGCTGCAGGAACTGGAGGACATTTTCCATCGCGTTCAATACCCCGACGTGTTCACGCGGTAAGTGGTTTGTTACGCTAGCGCGCAGTTCTCCAGGGGGCTCGGGCCCATCCCGGGGAGTGTTAGGCTCTTTCCCAGGACCCTCCCAAGCCAAAAGCCGCTTAGGGGGGTTGAGGACGCCAGGGTCCGTCCTTGATCTCAGGGGTTGGGTCAGTGCTTCCAGAGAGCTTGCTAGGGTGAAGCAAGGGAGGGTCGGATTGATCGTGCTTTTATTTAAAATTTGGATAATTTGTCCATGAGTCTTTTGCATTAATTTTTATATTTTAAATGTTGCATTAAAATATTTATCGTGATTGCTCAGTTTTTTTCAAGCACTTTAAGTTTTGCGCACCAGGCGGGCACCTCGCTTTCCTCACCCTAGTCTCGGTCCTGCCACGTGGAGCGCTGTGCTAAGGCTTCACAGTTTCGAGCGTTTAAAAGCCAGCGAGGTTTTCCCTTCAATTTGCCTTCCGTGGAGCCCTTGTAGTGGGTCCCGATCCCGGTAGTGTATGAAGGGGCAGGCCTATTTGGGGCCGGCAGGAATGGGGGACCAGGATGAGTCGGTGTGCGGTTTAGGGGCCTTCTTTCTGGTTCTGCTGCATTCAGCCTTCTCCCGCCAAAGAGCACAGAAAGAATTTCCCTTGAGCCGATGGTTTGGAGTTCCTCCTTGAGAGTTCCCCTCCGCATTTACAATAAACTGTGGAAATACTCTGGTTCAAAACTCCGCTTTAAAGGCTTTGGCGTTTTATGTATTTTCACGGAGGGAAAGATTCCTTTCCCAAGGAAAGATTTCCAGGATTATTCTCTGCTGTTCCACAAACAGAAAAATCGGTGGAGACATATTTAACTAACAGACACACTACCAGGGACTTTCATATATATTCCCTTTTTCTATCTTATTTAGTACAGGTAAGTTGTCCGTGGGAAAACTCCCTAAAGCAAGCCTCAAGCTGTGTTATGGAAAACTTCACTGGGAGGGGAGATAGAAATAATGTGTGTGATATATTTATTTTAAATACTGAACATTTGCAATTTTCCTCCCTCAGAGAAGAGATCGCAGGACGTCTGAATTTGACTGAAGCCAAAGTGCAGGTCAGTAAATCTTAAAAGAGCACATGGCAGGGCAGCCATTTAAAACATAGTTGAGATTTTGTCCTGGATATTCTGAAGTTGGTGTGTTAGTTGTCTTTCCATGTTTAATAAATAAGTTTTGAACACTGAGTGCCTTGGGGGTGGGAAATGGGATAAGCTTCTGGAAATTGCCCATTACCAGAGGAAATATGATTTCCTAAAGGAAAAAAAATAGAGCACACTTCTCCCCACACACACTTTTTTCCCAATAAAGTTCACCTCCTTTTACACTGGTATCTTTCAGGAAGAATGTTAGTCTTCCCTAAAGGAATATTTCTATGTATAATCATGTTGGGGCTTAATCCTACCTGGGAAGTATACAAATTAATGCACTGAAGAGCTAGATTATAAGAAGGTTCAACAGTACTAAATTATTTGAAATATTTAAAACCAGGCATAAGCTCTTGGCTAAATCAGTGAATTTATAAGTATTCAGACATTGGGGTGAAGGAGTAATTCACAGACAGAACACAGTGCATGAGTAGCATGTTTAGTTAAACTGAAACTGGAGTGGGAGGGTAGCTTAAAATTCCAAGTGCCTGGTCCTTCTGCCATTTCTAAGTGTTTTGTAAAGCAGCATAGAAAATGAAAGCCTTAAATTTTAATTTTTTTGGAAGACTTTGATATCAGCCCCAAAACATGGCTAAAATGTTGGGATTTTGTTAGTAATGGGGAAAGGTTTGCAAACTTTGGAAAATTGTCTTAAAGAATTGAACCAAAAAAGACAACAATTTTTAATAAAGTTCCACTGACCTAAGAAGGGGTGAAAGTTTAGGGGAGTACTGTATACATTCAAATATATGCATTGCAGATGCCTCACAAATTCAACTATATGAAACTACCTAGTGTGTAAATGAATATTCTCTTGAGGAACTTTTAACATCTACTAATTTTTCTTTCCTTTTGGTGACATTATTTTGAAAAGGTGGGGTTTTCTGGAGTTTGATTTTCAGGGTGCTCTCACTTCAGACCAGATTCTTACATGTGTAAATTTAAATACTTTTCAGGAAATTATTATTAATTTGTTGGTCACGGGATCAAATGGTAACTGTTTGAGGTCATAGAAAATCATAGTTACATCAAAGAAGTATGTGCCCCCTCAAGGTAATCTCAGAGGAAAAGAAAAACAAAGTTTGCTAAGTAGATTTTCCCCCTCCCTGGTTGCCTTCTTTTTGGATTTCTGAAGGGGAAATGAGCCAGAAAACCCAAAAAAGGAAAAACACTATGTTCTCATATATTTTCAAGCTCTGCAGCATGAATTTCCCCCAAGAAACTTAATAGATGCTTCCCCTCACCTTTTGCAAATATAGTAGACCTCTTTATGAAACCAGTATTAGGAATATGGATCTAATATTGGCCCATACCAAAATTTGCCAGATTTTGGTTACATTTAGGGAGATTTGACCACTGATATATTTGAATCCCTCCAAAATGAACTCTACTATACTGGCTTTCTTCAGACTATATATTCATGCAGCAAAAGGACCCCAAATCCTAAGATGGGAAAGAGAAAAGGTGACAGCAGACAGAGAGAAAAGGCCCTTTGTCTCAATTAAATAATATTGCAGTTTGGGAACTTCCGAAAGGATTAAATACAATAAAAACCCTATTAACTAGTATACCAAGAGAACAGTAAAGTCTAAGTGACAGCTTTTTTTGTCTGTTGGTTTGTTAATATTTGGCAAATACTCAGGGAGGAGCCTCTTTTGTGGCCCCTACCCCCACATTGCTGTGGAACATTTTCCTAAAATGGATAATTGGACCTTCCTGCCTTAGGAATGAGTGATGGGATTGGAGTCTCCTACTTAAGGAATGGAGCTGGCAGGGCCAAACGTGCCTCACCCCTCTGAGAAACAGCAGCTTCTGTCCAGGATCCTAAAAGTATAGCTAGGGCTGAATGACCTAACTTTCTTCTGAGCCCAGGAAGGTCTGGAGGGTAAGGCAGATGGGAGCGTGCAAAGTTGACAGTAGTGACAATGGGGTGCCCAATCTCTTATCTGGGGAAAAGGATTTTGAGTTTAGTGAATTTGGATTCAATTAGGTTAAACTTTCCTTAACACTAAAAGCTAAACTACCAAGGCAGCGTCCGGGGCTTCAGCAACTCTCCTATCCCAGCAGTCCCTGAGACCCCATGATCAGGCCTCTTTTGACATACCACATGTTTAATTCTTAGGAGGTTTAGGAGAATGATCCCTTAAATATCACTACAGGAAACTTTTCTGGCTAAAACTGCAATGTCCTCCTAGTGGATTAGTTACTTTAGACTGCAGATGGGTTTTTTGAAAAGAGGGTCATTCCTGTCCATATAATTTTAATCAGGTCCTCCTTTATACCATGTTCAGCTTCCCCCATAACCAGGGTGACACTACCCCTGGTGAGGAGGGGGTGAAGCAACCAGACAGCTGACGGTCGAATGTCCCTTTACCCCATTGCCAGGCATGTGCATTAATGTTGGAGAACCAGTGCAATTTATCAGTTAGATCTGCATCCGAGACCTGGGGGGAAAACATGAAAGAATACTAAAAATTAGAAGAGAAACAAATCAATGTGCCCAAGTCTGGACTAGCCATGGGGTTAGCTGAGAGGAGGTATGCAGTTTACTTTCCCAAGATACGTTAGCAATAAGGAAATGGCTTCTCCCACTGCAGTTTACAAGTTCAGTGGCAGCATTGCATGTTGTCGTGTTTTCTATTATGACATTAACTGTTCAGTGTACTAAACCAATCCCTTTTTTTCCCTCTGATTGAAGGTTTGGTTTCAAAACAGAAGGGCCAAGTGGAGAAGACACCAGAGGGCAATGATGCTCAGAAATGTGGCCCCTGTTGCCTTGGGCCTTCCTGTGGGAGTAATCTTTGATGGGCCCTATCATGCAATCCTTGTTCTGGACCCGGCATGGAGATATGTTCCTCTAGTGCCTCGGGGCCTTATGCCTCCTGGGCCACCCCTACACCCTGGGCCTCCTGGGCCACCTCTGTCCCCCGGGCCACCCATGATACCTATGCCACCCCCGCCACCTGTACCTCCCTTTGCACTGTCCCCCGTAGGGGTGGCATGGGCCCATGTCATCAATGGTTATTTCACAGGTCCCATTTTCTAAAGTATGGCCTTTGTGACAATTTTTCCAAAGTGTTTTTTTCTGCCAGATATAAATCATGCATAGTGCAATATTGAGTAATTCTTCAAATACATGTTAAATGAATTGAATAACTGAACAAAGTTAGTGCCTGTTGTTCTTGTAGAGTACCTTTTCAATAAAGCATTTTCAGTAAAGTTTCAAATAAGTAATATATTGGTTTTGAGTGCCAAATGAGATAAGTAGGGTATTTATGCAAATTATAAGGAAATAGCATTCAAACAGAATGTCAAATAGGTCTCCTTCATAACATAATAGCCCTGAGTTACCATCAATAGGCCATGCACATCACAATTTTCCAAGTGCCCATGCTGGTTTACACTGACCACATGTGCTCCTTCCACATCTGTCCCCTCCCCAACAATCCTCAGCCCCACTCTGCCCTGTTTGGAGCACATCCCTGTGCAAGATGAGAAGGGGTGCGTCTCTAGTGAGAGAACAGTGTGTTTCCAGGCAGGGCCATGTTCCATTCATGTCAGGGAATTCAACAGCCATGGACTCTAACGGAATCTTCCTAAGAGGCTACTCAGGGCTGTAAGGGACTGTGGCAGCCAAACTCCAAATTCTGTTCACTGCTCTCCATTTTGTGGAAGTCATAGGGAAATATGAATCATTCTGGTTCACAGACACAAGAAGGAGTTCGGCTAAGGTCAGAAAGGGGCTGTTCTCTGTTTTCTTATCCCCATCCCCAGCCTAAGAGAGCCTATTATAGTTTCCCCAGCTCAGAAGCAGTCACATCTTGAACTATATTTTGTCACCTTCAACATCCAATAAATGGACCCCTGAACAATGCTCTGGAATTAGCACTCACTGAAAAGAAGCACACCTTTGCTTTGTTCATGCTTACTTCATGCAAAACTGCCAGGGGAGAAAATAAAAACCAAAATGGAAGGGAGGAGGAGGCTAGGCCCACTATTCCTAAAACATCACTTTCTTTTCAGTAGAACTTTTGCTTTTCATCAATCCCTATCAGTATATGGTCATTTTACGACCAGTCATGAAATGATTCTAGTGACTTCAGATAAGGGTATCACAGTGACACCAGAATTTCATGGGAGGTGGAGTGGGGAGAGAGGAGGTCCCAAAGACAGGTTTTGCAGCAGTTCCACATTCCTAGCTTGAAGTGAGGCTTTATTTTCATGTGAAAACATGATTTTTGCGGTGTTGTCCTGTCCAGTGTTCATTCCTTCCCTCCCTTCACACGTACAGATGGCAAAGGTCAGCAAAGCAGTTGTATCTAATATAGGACTTCAGCAGTGAGGAGGAGGTGATTAGGAAGGAAGAACATCCAGGAATGCATCTGCATGCTTTACCAGGTAATTTTGAAACACAACCATTCTTACCTCCCATCATTGACCACTTTCCTTCTTGTTAAAACATCAGGTCCCTGAATGTTGTAAGTCTTGGAAATACAGGGTCTATACTAATAAAAGTTCAAGGACCCCATCCAGCCCTGCCATCCTAAGATTCAAAGTCAAACACTACCCAGAACACAAATCCTGCAGTTAATTCTCATATGCAGTCTGACCCACACAAACATAGAATGTTTTTGTTTTTGTTTTTGTTTTACTCAGGTTGCCTGAGAAGGTGAACATCCTTTCCCATAAGTAGGTGGGATATTCAAGAGTAATATATACTATTTTTAAAATTATATCTACTTCTTTCAAATGCCAGATGGTTTAAGGAAGGGAGGTGGGATGTGAACAGAGGAAATAGACAAAACATTTCTGCAGATAATAGGTTCCCCTGGTCTAGGTTTTAAAAGGCAGAGGCCTTTTAAAATAATCCCACAAAGAACATTACTCTTTGAAAGTGCATTTCAAATATCCCTAAAGCATAGATAAATTAATTTATTCTAATATAAGGAAATTATTTTGGTAAAAAATCTTTAGAAAATGGCCATTAGCAAATAGGTTTATCTGAGATAGATGGTCTTTATAGATTGCAATTTGGGCTGAACTGTAAAAATCACAATTTCAGGAGGAGTACAGGAGGTTCAGCATTTTACAGTAATAATTATGGATATGCTTTTTCTAAAGTTGTTTTGTATTGAAGACTACATGACAGGGAGCTTTCACAAGAGTAACTTTCATGGTCAAATAGAACAAGATATGAAGTATTTGGGGGTAAAATAAAGTCTTTTTTTTTTTTAATTTGAGAGAGAGCATGCACATGAATGGAGGGGAGGGGCAGAGGGAGAGAGAGAATCCCAAACAGGCTCCATGCTTGAGGCAGAGCTGTATCTCACAACCCCAGGATCATAATGTGAGCTGAAATCACGAGTTGATTGCTCAACCAACTGAGCCACCCAAGCTCCCTGGCAATAAAGCCTTTTTGACTAAAACTAAATTTATGTAACCTGGATCTTGTTTCAAACAAATATAGTCAGAACCTTGGAGATCTAACTGGGAGGTGCCTGAGAATCAAAATCCCAGCCATTACTGGTAAGACAAGTAGGGGAAAAAGGCAAGGAAGGAAAGGACTAGAAATAATTTTTTTTTAATTTTTTTTTTAACGTTTATTTATTTTTTGGGACAGAGAGAGACAGAGCATGAACGGGGGAGGGGCAGAGAGAGAGGGAGACACAGAATCAGAAACAGGCTCCAGGCTCTGAGCCATCAGCCCAGAGCCCGACGCGGGGCTCGAACTCACGGACCGCGAGATCGTGACCTGGCTGAAGTCGGACGCTTAACCAACTGCGCCACCCAGGCGCCCCTAGAAATAATTTTTTAGCTGAGCATACAAGGATTCTCCCTTGAAATGGGTGTGAGAAGTGACTTTTTAAACAAAGAGAAGAACTACTATAAAAACATTAAAAAAATAGGGAAGCCTGGGTGGCTCAGTCCGTTAAGCATCCGACTTTGGCTCAGGTCATGATCTCGCCATTTGTGAGTACGAGCCCTGCATCGGACTCTGTGCTGACGAGCCTGGAGCCTGCTTCAGATTCCACCTCTCCTCCTCTCTGTGCCCCTCCCATGTTCATGCTGTGTCTCTCAATAATAAATAAACATTGTTAAAAAAATTTTTTTTTAAAAAGTAAAAAAATAAAGGAATAGAGTTTGATCAAAGTTGTTTTCAAAAGAATAATCATTTGCTTGAATTCAGATCATGGGGTTTTACACCTAAAATTGGACATGCTCTGAGAACATATGGATATACGTGTTTTCCCACCCAGTTCGGTGCTGGTGTGACTCTAGGAATTGGTAAAAATATGAAAATAAAATAATGGTGTACAATAATAGAGTTATTCCCTGAATCTTTTGTTTGGTAAATTCAACTTTTTCTAATTGGAATCCCATAGCTCATAAACTGGGGTTCTCAGACCTTGAATGGACACCTGCTAGAGGCAGATGATATCATAAAACAACCCTTATCACACACTCTTCTTTCTGAGAATGCTGATCAAAATTATTCTTATTGGTAACTTTTCTGATGTTCCCTCCCACTTAGTCAAGGTGATAGGATGTCCCAAAGAGAATGAGCCCTTGCCTCAGACAGCTCCTTAGCTGTCTTAGCAGGCACTTTTTCATTTTCCTTCAAAGTATTTTCACACAAGATCACGTCAATTTGGCAAATGACACAGACATTCTTAATTCTTGCAGTAAAAGGATGGGACAGGGGACCAGTCCCATCACTTTATGCCACTTTTCCAAGCAAAGTGCCTTTCTTCTGAGGGACACTCAGCTTAAAGGAAGAGACCCTGGTATTCTGCTGGAACTGGAGGAGGCTTTCACAGTAATCCAGCCCGTCCCCTTTATCCTACAGATGAGGGAACACAGGCCCTCATAAGAGGTGGAATGGCCTGCCTGAGGTAGTGTGCACAGCTCATCCTGGAGAAGGCCAGGCTCTGTATGGCCATGCCCTCCCCTAGGCCTAGGATTTCCCAGCTAAGGGCTGCTCCTCAGTGCTATTCACCTCCGTCTCCCCAGAACTCTTTCCTTCAAGGGGCTACAAACTCAAGGCCCCTTCCCAAGTCTTGGCACTGGGCCATTTTACCTCTAGGAAAAGTAAGCAACTTCCCCTGAAGGCATGCAATATCCTGGTGTCCACTCTTGAACGCTGAACAGCAGGGGCTTGAGAGAGTGATGCAGTTTGTACCCTCCTCACAAAAGACCGAGTGTGCTTCCACTACAATAACCCTCATTTCCCCCAATCCCCTTGCAAAGCTGTGCCTGCCAACTGGCAGCATAACACATAAGAAACAGCCAGCTCTGGGCTTGTGTTGAATTAACTTTTTTTGTAAAGTAGGCTAATAGTTTAGAAACTGTCATTATGCAATTAGTATTCATTTTGAAATGTGGTTATTTATGCTTGGGCTTGATCAATGTCACACTCTCTCCTTCTCAGATGTCACCACAATGCTATGAGGCAGGGACACAAGGTGGAATGGTGTAAATTTAGTTTTCGAATGCACCCCAATGGTCTGTATGCCTCCCCATGCAAAGTGTAGATCTTAAGGAGACTGTCTGGATTCCCAACATTTACATGCAAATATTTTTAGACTCTAGGAATACAAAAAGACTCCTTCTGAAAGCACACTCTGTTGTGTTTCACAAACAAGGGGACACAAGTGAGGGAAGAGGCGGCATACAGGCATGGGCAGCATAATTGATACACCTGGATCCTTCTGAAGCACAGCTCCCAGACAAAAGTAGGGCCTCTGAGAACTACAGAGTTGGAGCACAGTTTTTCTATTTTTGGCCCAAGATTCTTGGTTTAGGGAAAAAAAAAAAAAAACAAGAGGTGGGGTAGGGACCAAAGAATAGTCTCTGACCAGTTCTCCATGAACAAGGGAGACAAAAAGATGAAGCAAAAAATGTTGTAAAGTCAGGAATGGAAAAGCAGGCTGTGGGTACCCAGGGGAGAAAGAGACTCATGTCCATGGCTGGGCCCCAAGATGTCGCTGAGGTAGGAAGCTAGGTAGTGAGTGGCAACTGGGTAGTGTCCCTGGGAGGTAGCCAGTGGGGCACAAGGTGGTGGCCCTGGCCAGCTGGACTTTACAAAAAAGAAGAAAGGAAAACAGAACTCAGGTTAATATGCAAATAAATCCCCTTCCATAGTCCCCATCTCAAGGTAAAGCAATGGGACTGCTATCTCTCTTTTCTTTTCATCTCTACTTCCCCTTAAATGATCACCTTAAGGGGTATCCCCAGGTCCCCAGCCCCAACACCTCAAAAAACACTAAGGATTCTATTTCTTCATTTTAACCAGAAGGAATTTTCAAGGACGTCCAGGGAATTCCATGGGCTCACATACCATTTCAAAACCTCAACTCCAGCAGGGAGTCAGAAAGATACTGCAGTGTGCTAAACTGATTCCTCTATTTATTTAACACAGAGGTTTAGACTTCAGACATCCCATGGCCAGGTCTGTTCTTCCACAGATGAACATATTCTATAGCTTCATGACTCTGCTTAACACTCTGTTTTAGAGAATGGTTAATCCATTCACTCCAAACAGAAAGTAAGGAGACTGGATACAAGATCCTAGTAAACATGTGGGATGAAGATGAGGAAGTCATCTTTACAAGTTATGAGGTCACTGCCCAAGAGTGACAAGCAAAGCCAAGGCCAGAAATCAAGGTCCCCTTACCTCACCCTACTCCTCCTTATCATCCCCTCCCCTGGGAACCATGAGAAAGCTTCAATCCACAGGCAAAATTCAAATGATATTTTTAATAACTATTAATAACTTCCCCACAACACTTCAGGGACTGCTGCATAAGTGTAGCTCGTCCTCCCACATAACTGATAAGTTTCATAATGTTATACACCCATATCTCAATTAAATGAAACTATGCCTGCAGGGAGTTTCAGTTTATCAGGATTGAATATTTATTGCAGGAAAAAGCAGGTTCCCGGGAAAGTCTTTTTTTCCTCTTTCCCTTCTTTTAAATTTTTAAAAAATGTTTATTTTTCAGAGACACAGAGCGCAAGCAGGGGAAGGACAGAGAGAGAGGGAGACACAGAATCCGAAGTAGGATCCAGGCTCTAAGCTGTCAGCACAGAACCTGAGGCGTGGGTCAAACCCACAAACTGTGAGATCATGACCTGAGCCGAAGTCAGACACTTAACCGACTGAGGCACCCAGCAGCCCCTCCTCTTTCCCGTTTTTAAAGTCTTTTTTTTTTATTTTAGGGTTTTTTTTCCTGTTGTTTTCATTGTGTTGTACTTTGTATAACCATTTAAAGAAAGTCCCAGGGATCAGCACATACTCAGTATAATTGCCTACTCACATCCAAGTAAGGAATTTTGATCTCCGGAATGATAACTCTGAGACACTACAACCTCACACAGCAGAAACACAGAAACTGTCATGCTCATCTCTCTTTTTTTTAAGTTTATTTATTTACTTTAAGGGTGGGGGGGGAGCACAAGAGGGGGAGGGGCAGAGAGAGAGAGGGAGAGAGAGAATCCCAAGCAGGCTTTGTGCTGTCAGTCCAACATAGGGCTCGATCCCAGGAGCCATGAGATCATAACCTGAAGCAAAATCAAGAGTCAGATGTTTAACCAACTAAATCAACCAACTGCCCCATGCCATGCTCATTTCTGACCCTACACCTCTGCTTGTGCCATGCCTGTGTGCCGCTTCATCATCTAGCTGGGTCATTCAGTGCTTGACCACTTCTTTGTTGCCTTTTACTCCTCCTTTCTTCATTCCCCTCTTTCTCAATCCTGCCCACCTAGCTATTACATCCTCTCCCTGAATCTCTATAGGCCTGAGGCATGGATCACTCATTTGACCAGAGCCTTCATAACTTACGGCATTCCGCTGAAACTTAACCATTGGTGGATGCAATTCTTGATTCCTTTACCTGAACACTAGTGCCTGAAGCTTCCAGCTGGGTCTCCTCTATTTTCTGGATGCCTCATTGCACCCATTCTAGTGCTTTACATTTAAACAATAATAAACGGTGATAATGGTAACAGCTAAAATTTTCTGAGGGTTTACAATGTGCCAAATACTGTGTTGAGCAATATGCATGAATGACAACTATTGCGTTCTGCAGATGAGGAAACTAAGACACAAAGAGTTTAAATAACCTACCCCAAACCAAGAGACAGACTCTTAACTCTAGAGAACAAACTGTTGGTTACCAGAGGGCAAGTTGGTGGGGGAATGGGTGAAAAAGGTGATGGGGATTAAGGAGTGCACTTATGATGATCACTGGGTGATGTATGGAAGGGTTGAATCACTATATTGTACAACTGAAACTGACATTACACTGTATGTTTACTAACTGGAATTAAAAAAAAAAAACTTAAAAAAATTTTAAATAAATAACCTGCCCAAAATGACACAGCTGAAAAGTGACTATGATAGACTTCAAACTAAAAGTCTTTTGTCATTTTGATGTATACATAATCATTGAATCGAACATTGAATTCATTGAATTCCTGTTCAAATTTGAGAGGAAAACAGACTAACTAATGGTTTCACATTTTGTTCAACAGAAATACACAAAAAACATGAATCTCCTATTAAATTTTAATTCTTCAGTAAGTTCCATTAAGAAGAATAACCCCATGGGTCACCTGGGTGGCTCAAGTGGTTAAGTGTCTGACTTCGGCTCAGGTCATGATCTCACAGTTTATGGGGTTTGTGGGTTCGAGCCCCACCTCCGGCTCTGAGCTGACAGCCTGCTTTGGATTCTGTGTTTCCCTCTCTCTCTGGCCCTCCCCCTCTTGCACTCTCTCTCTTTCTCTCTCTCTGTCTCTCAAAATAAACATTAAATTTTTTTTAAAAAGAAGAAGAAGAATCTCATTTCTTGAGCATTCTGATGCTTTAAGGATTTACTTCAATATATCATCATGCAATATTTCTGGACAAATATTAACCAGACAAATTTATTAGGTATCAACCTGTTTTTTTTTAATTTGCTCTCCAACTCATCATTTAAATGGGTTCCCTTTTCTCTGTTTTAAGCTCTCCTTTTTAAAAGAGAAAGGGGGGGGGCGCCTGGGTGGCTCAGTTGGTTAAGTGTCCAACTTTGGCTCAGGTCATGATTTCACAGTTTGTGAGTTCAAGCCCTGCATCGGGCTCACAGTGGCCTTTAGGAGCCTCCTTTGGGTTCTCTCTCTCTCTTTCTCTCTCAAAATAAATAAACTTCAAAAAAAAAGAGAAAGGGAATTTCCCTTTCTCTGGGTGAATGATAAGCAGTCTGTGAACACACAATATCATTGGAATCTGGAACTGTCATACTTTAAATAAGCAAGGCAAGATCAGAGCATGAATGTGGCTAACTCCTCCTTTCAATCCAATGTTTTCAAATTGTGCTTATTTTAGTGTGTTTTTAAAAGTTTATTAGTGTAGTTTATCTGACAATAGTTATAAAAGTAGTCCATGCATCACATATACTACATAGTCAAATTGTTTTCAACGGGGGTTCCAAGACCAATCAATAAGAAAAGGGCAGTCTTTTCAACAAATGGTGCTGGTTAAACTGTATATCCACATGCAAAAGAATGAAAGGTACCGTCACCTTACACAATATGCAAAAATATGTCAGAATGGATAAAAAACCTAAATAACCTCTTCCATTAGGGGCCTGGTATGCAGCAGAGCACTCACAGAAATGCTTTATCCAGGTCATTCACTGGCTCTTCTCTCTCTCTCTCTTTCTCTCTTGCACACATGTGCACATGAGATCTTTAGATTGAAAATATCCTGAAATGGTCACATCAGTCCATTTCATTGGGTGCTTCTTTTGGACATTAGAATGTCCCCACCAGAATGCAAACTGGTGCAGCCACTCTGCAAAACAGTATGGAGGTTCCTCAAAAAGTTAAAAACAGAACTACCTTAGGATCCAGCAATTGCACTACTAGGTATTTATCCAAAAGATAAAAAAAATACTATTGGAAGGGGCACATGCACCCCAATGTTTACAGTTGGCAATGTTACTATAAACAATAGCCAAATTATGAATTGTATAAATGCCCATTGATGAATGAACAAGGAAATGTGTATCTATACAATGGAATATTACCCAGCCATCAAGAAGAGTGAAATCTTGCCATTTGTAACAACATGGATGGAACTAGAACGTATTGTGCTAAGCCACATAAGTCAGAGAAAGACAAATACCATATGATTTCACTCATATGTTGAATTTAACAAACAAAACAGATGAGCATAGGGGAAGGGAATGAAAAATAAAATAAGATAAAAACAGAGAAGGAAGTAAACCATAAGGGACTCTTAATGATAAAGAATGAATTGAGGGGTGTTGGAGGGGAGGGGAGTGGGAAGATGCGCTAAATAGCTTATTGTGCATTAAGGAAGGCACTTGTGATGAGCATTGGGTGTTGTATGTAAGTGATGAATCACTAAATTCTACTCCTGGGACCAATACCACAGTATATGTTAACTAACTTGAATTTAAATAAAATCTTGGAAGAAAAAAAAGAACATCTCCACCAGCTGTTGAGTCGCTCCCAGTGAGGTCAATTATCCACTTATGGCAGAATTTTTCCAATTTGGAATTAAAATTGGCTGAGGGGTTAGGAAAATATTTGATTAATCTAGCGGCCTGTTTCATGAAACTCCTTCCTATAAAAAGCAAGAGCAATTCATCATCAGAGAAGAAAGCCTGGTGATCCAGGTGTTACACCAACAAAGCCGGTGCCCCAGGAAGGTGTCAGGACTCAACTCTGTATTGACTAAGAAATATTCAGGGAGAAATTAATTTTTTAAAATCTTTTCAAAAACAAATTAGTGATTAAAAAATCATTTTAGTCTTTTCAATCTCTTAAACAATTAATGCCATAACTGGCAAGGACCTACAAATTCAAATAGACACAAACTATAAAAAAGGTCCCCACCCCAGCCGCTCCAACCCCCTCCTCTTCCAGTCCCACCCCCCACCTTTCCAGAACCCTGACTCCTGTTCTGCTCTGCCTGACGGCTTTGGCCACTAGAGGGTTTCTGCTTGCAAAAAGTGGATAGTGAATGTAGTATGAATGCCCCTGTAGCCCATGACACAGGATTTAACTCCGCATAAAAAGGATCAGTGTAGTGACGTGAAACTGAAAATTATTCCTTCCTCTGGGTTGGGCTGAGCTGAGCTATCACAGGAGCTGCCCTTCGCAAGCGCAAAGCCACTGACCGCCCGAGCACCTACTTGCCTGCGCGTCCCTTCGTCTCCTAACTTCCCATTGAGAAGCACAGGCTGCTCCCTGGAAACCGGGTAAGAGCCACTCTAGGGCGGAGGGCGAGCGGGGCGGGGGGGGGGGGCGGGAAGGGGGTGTTGTCTCAGAGATTAAAGCGTTTACCCACCAACCTTGGGGCACACAGACCATTTTTGCAAAGTTGGCTTCTATAGAGAATCAATACAAAAATGTGCAGTCTGGTTTCACAAAAGTCAAGCAGTAGGTGTCCCCACTGCAAACGTTCCTACTGAAAGTTTCCCCCCAGTTCCCATCCCAAATCTCATAATCTGACAAAATTTACCTCTTAATCTCACCCTATGACCAACTGTTTGTTTCTACATGGAGGATAGCCAATAGTGTGCTCCATTTTTTACTTAACAGTATTTCATAACTATTTCCCACATTTTATCATAGTCTTCACATTGATCATTTTCATGTTTGCATTCATATACTATCATTCATTTATGTTTTTTTTCTGATGATGATCAATCAGTAGCTACTTGTTGAATTACTAAACATCTTTGTGGGCAGAAACAGATATATATATAGATATATATATAGATATATATATAATCTTTTTTTCTTTGAAATTTTTTTCTCAGGCCAAAGTTCTGGGGTCGGGAATACAATAGTCAGAGGGTAAGGATTTCTTCATTGCTCTAGCTACATATTGCTATGGAAGGCAGTGTACACAGGCTTTTAGTTAAGAACACAGGGTTTGGACTTCAACAAAACGTTGTTAGGCTGGTTCTGCCTATACTAGCTATGTGGGGATAGACTAGTTACTCCACCTCTCTAAATCACAGTTGCCTCAATTATGAGATGTGAAAAATAAAATTACTTCTGCACAGCAATATTATGGGGAAGATGGGCACAATAAATGTTGCCTACTGTGTTACTATGATCACCAGTGCCAACACATGTATTTACCCACAGCCTCACGAATATTGGGATTTTATCTTTCAAAACAATGTTTTGGTGGATTAAATGGGTATAAAATGGTACTTTGTGGTATTTATACTTCCTTGTCGCATAATGAGGTTTACGTTTTTTACAAGTGTTGACTTATTCTGTGTGCCTTTTGTTCTGCAAATTGTTTTCTTCCCCATAGTCAGGATTCTGTTTTATCAAATAGTTGTGCTCATGAAGGATAGTCTATTCTATTCTTTAGATATGATTTTACCTGATTTTACCTCAGTTAAAATCCCAGATGAGATCATTTGTGCCAGATAGTGGAAGATGCATAATTCTAAATTAGCTTTTCCCATCACTATCCAGTTGTTTCAAAGCACTTATTAAATATACAATATTTTGCTCATTGTTTTATGGTGCATATTTGACATCTGTTCATGTTATGTATGCTAAAAGCTATTTCCAATCTCTCTCCTCTGTTCCACTGATAAATATTTCACTTATGAGCCAACATCACAGTCTTAAAGATTACTGCTTTATAGCTTGTTCTAATGTGTGATGAGATGAATCTTCATTTCTTACTCTTTAGACTAGTCTTTTTGTTTTCTTGCATATTTTTCCTTTTTTTTTAGAGAGAGAGTGTGCATGTGAGAGCAAGGGAGAGGGACAGTGGGAGGGAGAGAAAGAATCTTAAGCAGGCTTCAAGTTCAGCACAGAGGCTAACATGGGGCTCGAACTCACAAACCGCGAGATCATGACCTGAGCCCAAATCAAGAGTCGGATGCTCAACTGACTGAGCCACCCAGGCGCCCCCATATTTTTCCTTTTTAACTGAAATTGTGTTAAATTTAGAAAATCATTGGGAGCAAATTGTCATATTTACAAATATGCTGTCTTTCCATTTAAGAACAGATCCATAATGGGCCATTTTATAAATAACACCTGAATCTTAAATATTTTGTCAGTATTGCTGAAAACTCACACCTGCCCCTAATGTATTCTGGTTTTTTTTAATTCATTTATTTACTTATTTTGAGAGAGAGAGAGAGCAAGAGAGAGAGAGACAGAGAATCCCAAGCAAGCTCTGCACTGCCAGTGCAGAACCCTACGTGGGGCTCGAACCCACAAACCGTGAGATTATGACCTGAGCTGACACCAAGAATCGGGTGCTTAACCTACTAAGCCACTCAGGCACCCCTAATCTATTTTGTCTTCAATAACAGAGGCCAATTCTTTCTGTGACATTTGGTAGCTGTGGTAAGCAGAGTAATAACCTCCTCCCAAGGATGTCCATGCCTTATTCCCCAGAATAGTGAATATGTTATGTTACATGGCAAAGGAGAATTAAGGTAGAAGATATAATTAAGGTTGTTAATCAGCTAACTTTAAAATAGGAAGATGATTGGGGTGCCTGGGTGGCTCAGTCGGTTAAGCAGCTGACTTCAGCTCAGGTCATGACCTCATGGTTGGTGAATTCGAGCTCCACATGGGGCTCTGTGCTGGCAGCTTGGAGCCTGGTGCCTGCTTTGGATTCTGTGTCTCCCTCTCTCTGCCCCTCCCTTACTCATGCTCTGTCTCTCTCTCAAAAATAAAAAATAAATAAACATTAAAAAAATTTAAAATAAAATAAAATAGGAAGATGATCTGGTTTATCCGGGTAGGCCCAATGTAAGTACAGGGATCCTTAAAAGTAAAAGAAGAACACAGAAGAGTAGGTCAGAGCTATGAGATGTGAAAAGGACTCAAATGGCCATCACTGGCTTTGAAGATGGAAGAAAGGGGTCATGAATCAAAGAATGTAGGCTGGAAACAACAAGGAAGCATATTAGTTCCCAGAGCCTCCACAAGGGAACACACAGCTCTGCTGACACCTTGACTTGAGCCTAGGGAGACTCACACTGGACTTCTAACCTACAGAGCTATAAGATAATAAAGATGTGTTCTAAGCCAGTTTGTGATAATACATTACAGCAGCCATAGGAATCTAAAACATTAGCCAAGTGAAAGCTGTGCAAGGGAGTCCCCTTACACTGATCCTGGTGCTCTCTGCCCTTAACCTTCTTTTCCTGAGGCCAGCAAACATTAGCAGGCCTAGCCTTGGCCCCTGCCTTTTCTGTGTCCCAGAACATTGGAGACATCTTTCTAGAAATGGGTTGTTTCTGCTTGGTACATTCTGTACCACTTTGTTTATTCCTGCTTGCCCACTTTTTGTGCTTCTGCCTTCATCCTTAAAACACTGGGGAACCTGTAGGTACTCAGAGATGAGGGAAAGAGGACAGGGAAGCTTGAAACCACACTCCCATTATAGCCTTGCTTCAGGTCTATCAGATCGGTAAAATTTTCACACCATCCCAAGACTTTCTCAAACATGCACTGCTCCCTTAAATTCCAGAAAATATTTTCTGGCCTCACTAGGCACTAGTTTTTGAGCATATGATAGGTTACCTCTTAGGATGAAAAGCCAAGAGTCCATCCAGCTTGTGGCAGACTGAATTTGGAATTTCCACATCAAACCTATTGTGTCTCTGACAATTAAAATCTTTAGTATGAGAATGCGCTTTCATTTTGAAGTATAAAATATAATTTAATTGTATTTCACATATAAAAAATGTATGAAAACATGAATCATGAACCACATATTGCTGGGATTACATAAAATGGGACTAGCCTAAGGGGCTGGTCAGAGAAGGAATAAAATTTCCTTTTTTCTTGGGCACATTGGTCGAGATAGTACTATAAACCACCCCCTCTTGGTAGCTTTCATTTATTGAGCCTTTACTCTGTGCAAAGTGATGTGCTAAATAATTTAAATGGATGATTTTGTTTCATCATTACATTAACCTTAAGAGTTAGGTACTATTATCCTTACTTGAAGATGAGGAAGTTGTTACCCACAGTCACAAAGTGAATAAAAGCTAGGATTCAGAGTCACGTTTGTCCAACTCCAAAGCCCTTGCCATGTCAAGTTTAATACAGTAGTAAAGCACTGGGATGCTAGGGTTAGAGTGATCTGGCTTCCAATTCTAGTTCTGCCAATTGTTTGTTCTAAGTGTTTGTTCCTGGGAAAGTTACTTAATGTCTATGTATTTAGCATCTTTCTCTATAAGACTGGAAGAATAGAGAACTGATAAGAAGGATAAATAATACTAATATGGCTTAGGTACCTCGCACAACTCCTAGCCACAGAGTAAGCACTCAGAAAATCTTCACTGCTATTACTCCATACTGTCTTCTATCATCACAATATAACCTGTCATGTCACCTTTCCTATATGGCACAACTCCCACCTGGGAGTCAGGTGGTCTGAGTTCTTGTCACAGCTCTTTTACTATGTCTGTAATTGAACAAGCTACTTAACCTTCTGTATCTGTCTCATACAAAATTATGACTGCAGAACCCATATAAAGAGATAAATGTGTTATGAAGTCATAAGGAATCATTCCATCTATTACTTTCTAGAGATCAGAATATAATATTCATGTTTCTATTACCATCACCCTTTCCTAGACCAACGCTTCCCATTCTTATTTCTTCCCCAAAGAAAGAGAAAGGAAATCAGATGAGGTGAATAACATGGAAAATAATTAAAAAGTTAACAGAGTGGGGGTGCCTGGGTGGTGCAGTAGGTTAAGCGTCCAACTTCGGCTCAGGCCATGAGCTCATGGTTTTGTGAGTTTGAGCTCTGCATCGGGTTCTCTGCTGTCAGCACAGAGCCTGCTTTGATACTCTCAAACATGTGCTGCTCCCTTAAAGTCCAGAAAATATTTCCTGGCCTCACTAGGCACTTGTTTTTGAGTATATGATAAGTTAGCTCTTAGGATGAAAAGCCAAGAGTCCCCCTCTTTCTCTGCCCCTTCCCACCCCCACACATGTGTGTGCACTCTCGCGATCTCTCTCTCTCTAATAAATAAACGGTTTTTAAAAGTTAGCACAGTGGATATTTGATTATAATAAAGAATTGATAATATTTTGGCTGTGATAATGAAACTATAGTTCTGTTTATTAAAAAAGTCTGTCTTTTAGAGATACATATTGAGATATTTAGTGATAAAATGGTATGATGTCTGATATGATGTCTGGATTTGCTTCAAAATAATCGAGTGGGGGATAGGAGTATCAGATAATGGGTGAGGGCATTGATGTAATAATATTGGCTATGAATGACAGTTATTCAAACTGGGTGATGAGTGCTTGGGGTTCCTCATATGATTCTCTCTGCTTTTGTATATGTTCCTATAATAAAACTTTAAAAAAATATCAAGGGTGCAAACTCAAATGCCTACTGAGCCAGGCAGGTAAAATTTAGGGAAGCAAACCAGATGGGGACTGTGAAGAACCAAGGAAGAATAAGTCTCATCCAGAGGGGATGGCCACACTTAGCTCCAGCTGACTGTTGCTGGATGGAAATGTGGGGTTGGGCTGCCAGATTCTCCAGTTTTTCAAGAGAATCCAAAACTAAAAAAAAAAAACAAAAAAAAAAGTATATGAAATCGTCCAATCCTTAAATGTTGGAAACTAATTCAAATATATTTTATCAACACTGTGGTGGCCAACTAAAACAAGTCTGAGAACCAGATTCAGCCTACAACTGCCAATTTGTAACCTTTGCCTAGAAGGTTAATTTTAGGCAATTTTCACAACTCAGAAGCACTAGAAAGTGATGGAAAGCCCTTCCAGAATCGATGAAATTAGAATGCCATAACTCTGCCCTGATCTGCCTCATTATAGATACTGCTCCTATATATGCTTTGTTTTCCACCCTCCGGCCCCCACCTGAGTTTCTCTAACTTTATCTTTTACTTTTATTGCATAGTTATGATCTCAAATTGGTGATCACTGAGGACTATGAAGTTCCAAGACAAGAAGCTTTGCAATAACAAATGAAGCTTTAGGCTCCATCTGGCCAGACCCTTCTTTCTGACACATTTTGCTCCTCTTCTCAATGATAAGCAGGTAACTTGGAAGAGTCTTAAGAACCATTTGTGCTCAAAGAGGCAAGGAATTAGTCTGGGAAGGGCTGGGCATCCTAGTGAAGGAGCAGGTCTTGTCTATCCTTTAAATCCAAGATAGTCACTTCTGACTGACAGCCCACAGGGCAGGCAGTTACTGTGCATTTCCTAGTCATGGGGTGGAAGGAAAAGGTGGGTCTGTTTTGAGACTTCCACTCTCCATCATTCACTTCTTCTTCTATGACTACAAGCTTATGAGATGCCTGATGGGGTGATAAATGTATAGTTTTTTTTTGTTTTGTTTTGTTTTGTTTTTGTTTTTGTTTTTGTTTTTGTTTTTGTTTTTGTTTTCTGAGAGTTCCAGGCGGGCTTCCTTGAGAACTAATGTTTTAAGCTGAGGTGAGAAGGATGAGCAGGAGTTGGCCAGATGAAGAAAAGATGGAAAAGCATTTCAGACAGGGAGGACTGTGTGGGCAAAAGCCCCAAGGTAGGAAAGCATTTAGCATTTTTGAAGCATTGACATAAGGCCAGTGAAGCTGCAGAAAGGAAGAAAGTGGCTGGAGATATGGATAAGGTATTAGGCAAAAGCCAGATCATGTAGAGCCTCGTCAAGCCCCAAATGGAGAGCCCAGTGTTGCATGACACCGTGACGGACACCATGGAGGCTACAGACACAATGCAGACTTAGTCCTTGCCCTGCAGTAGCAGGCAATAGCCAGTAAGATATTAGGCAAGTGCCACCAGGGTTGCTAAAGAATGTTGTTGGAAGGTCCTGGGGAGGAAGTGATTATTTTGAATGGAAAGATTGGGGGATGCTTCAGAGAAGAGGGGACAATTACTTGAACCTTGAAGGATAAATGGGATTTCAACTGACAAAGATGGTGGGCAGAGAATTTCTAGCAGTGGGAGCAGCTTGAAAAAAAAAGAGGCAAGTCAGTTCAAATTATGTGTGGGAATAAAGGGGAGCAAAGTTGGGGTTGGGAACAGTATTTGAGAAATAACACTATTATACAAAACAACTTTGGGGAGGCCTTGAGTGCCTAGCTAAGACGTGTTGTCTTCATTCTGTTGGTAATGGAGAGTTATTGAAGGCTTTTGAGTAGAAGAGACCCATGTTTTTGGAAACTCTCTCTGGCAACAGTATGGTCAGGGACGGAGGCCACACCCTCAGGGCTTTTCTAGCAATATAACAGTGCCTAGACTCGTTGGCTAGCAATAAGGAATAGAACTTACCCAAAAGAGGTCTAGATCTAATGGCACCTTGGGGGAAAAGGATGCTTTTTGTGACTGCTTACGATGGTCCAATTTGGGGAAGTGGAGGCTGGTGGTTTCCAAATAATGAAATACAGGATGCCTGGGTGGCTCCGTCAGTTGAGGTTCTGACTTTGGCTCGGGTCAGGATCTTGCAGTTCATGAGTTCGAGCCCCGCGTTGGGCTCTGTGCTGACAGCTCAGAGCCTGGAGCCTGCTTCAGATTCTCTCTCTGTCTCTCTCTCTCCTCCTCCTCTACTTGTGCTCTGTCTCTCAAAAATAAATAAATATCCAAATAATGAAATACAGTGTCAGAACACAGTCTGTTCTGTACAAGTGACAGTACTGGGGAGGGGGAGGGAGGACAGCAAGACTGGAGAGAGAATGAGAATATTATTTTACCCTGTGTCACAAAAAAGAATAATCTGCCTGACTTTTCATGTGGACATCTGCCCTGGCTGGGAGATTCGATTAATCTCAGAGGGGCTTCTCCAAATTCTAGGATTCTTGGAATGTAAAGTGGGCAATGAGTACAATGATATCAGAGTATAGCAAATGCTGAGAAAAATACTGGGGAACTGAAGCCAGGCTCTTCCAACAATTGAGCTGAACCAACACAGTCATTCTGGAGGAGGGAAGGGAGCTGATATTGAGGAAACCAACTCCCAAAGGAACCAAAGATAGGAACATCCTACCCAGCATACCTGAGAGGAACCAACAAGTTCACATGTGGCCAGCAGGCCTAGAGGGCTCCTCCCACCAGACCCACGATTCTGTTCTCCCAGCTCTCCAGACCAGTCAGGCACAATAGAATCACTGGCTCTTTCCTTTCAAAGATGGCATCTTGTAGTACAGAACTTGATTCTCTCCAAGTTTTAGCCTAAACGTATTAAGCTCACCTAAGGGTTGGGAGTCTAGGTTTGAAAAACCCTTACAATTTGCTGTTTCTTGAGAGACAATAACATTTCCTACATTGGAGTAATTGTTGACTCCTATGGTAAGTCAATGTCTGGGATAAAAGGTTGGGCATTCCTCCAGGGCCCTGCCCAACCACCTTCAATGTAAGAAGCTGGGAGAGGAAATTAACCTGAAAGGTAGTATAGTCTCACCAGAGCCCCATGAACATGCAGTACAATATCCCCAGATTCTTGTTAGCCCTAAGCTTCAGGAAGGTCACTTATGGTATTCTTTTTTGGCAATTTGTTGTTGGTACTGGAAAATAATCAGCCAACATGTACCCACTTAGTGTCAGATTATTATTTTCATTCATGTTTATGTTGCAGCCTTAACACATGAAATCCACCTGTTGATTTGTAATTGACAAGTCCATCTGTAGATGGCTGGCTTGGTTCTGCCCAAACGAAGATGGAAAAACACCTAGGGCCCCCAAATCTATTAGAGTTAGTAGTTCTAATGTAAGATATGAAGAATAAACACACTTCAGTTTAAACAGGAACTAATTCTACTTTTCTCTGTCTAGCAAGGTGATCAAAGCAAGTTTAAAAGCTTAAATGCCTCAGAAGTATACTGTAAGTATAATGGGCTCATTATTTTTTTTATCCTGCATATCAAAAATCAGAAATAACTTTATGTTTCCATTACTAATAGGACTCTTTCTGAGTATATTGACATTTAAGTTGGTTTTGAATGGTCCTAAAGCATTCTACATCTTGGGCTGATATGCATATGTACACAACATATACATATAAACATGACATTTTATATTAAATGCACATGCTTGAACACACATCTACATGCAATCATATACATAGGTATAGATGCACACACAACCTACACAAACATATAGGCAGATAGATAGATCTAAATGTAGGTATTTACACACATATATACATACAGATTTATATACACACATATACACACAGACATATGCACCTAAAACCAATACCGTGGTGAATGCTGATTGTATAGGAAAAATTAGCAAATGCATTTATTATCTTGTTTATGTTGACAAACCTTTCCCCTGTGATTAAAAATTTGTTACATGTCATTAGTGATAATGATGAATCCATTTTGTATTTTTCAGGTCTTCTTGGATTTCACAAGTCAAATTCAGTTCAAATTGTATTAAGATCAATGTTCAATTAACTTAATAAATATTTTTCTTTTGTAATTGAAGAAGTATAAGTCAAACACTAATTAATATGTTTAAAATATTTTTTCTATTGTGACATTATCCAACATAATATTAAATTCAGTTAAAAAAAAACCTTACCAAATGTATGAACTAATTTAAACATTAAAAATATAATAGTTCTTGATAAGAAAGTTACTTTCTTTAATTATGAGGGGTGTGAGTGAGTATAATGGGTAGTAAATGGAAAGTTTTAGTTTATTTATCGGATCGATTATCTACGTGATATTTTCCCTCAAAATGGAATATGCTGTGAATGAATTGCTGTCTAATATTTATGCTATAATGCAAAAGTTGTAAAAATAAATTTTTTTAATGTTTATTTATTTTTGAGACAGAGAGAGACAGAGCATGAACGGGGGAGGGGCAGAGAGAGAGGGAGACAGAATCGGAAACAGGCTCCAGGCTCTGAGCCATCAGCCCAGAGCCTGACACGGGGCTCGAACTCACGGACCGCGAGATCGTGACCTGGCTGACGTCGGACGCTTAACCGACTGCGCCACCCAGGCGCCCCAAAAGTTGTAAAAATAATAGCAAATATATCTTCACCTTATCAGGCAAAGTAGCTCAGGGATACCTCATAAAATCCGTATATGCACCATCACTTGTTTTGAGTGCTACAAGCTGGAAATAGGGATTCCTAAATGCAAGTTTTTTATTGTACATGATGCTTTAAAATAATGCAAGGTTTCAGTTTCCTGTCCCCAGGGCCTATTCAGGGTGCCATGTGCTCATGGTGCACTGCTGGCTGAAGGAGCCCAGTCCAGGGATGCATAGTCATATTCCATGGGTGTGCCTGTTCTCCATCACATCCTCCATAGTTGGTGTTCATGGCATTTGCTTTCAGGAAGACAGAATGTCGGTCTTGTGTGCCACCCACAGTGTATCCCTCCCTTACCACCTATGTGACTGAGGTTGGCTTCTGTGTTGACCTTTATAAAACAAAACCCTCAAATCAAGTTGCTATAATTAGAAAAGAAAGAAAGGAAGGAAAAAAAAAAGAAAGAAAGGAAGGAAGGATGGAAGCCAACAGGCAAGCAAACAAGCTGGGTTTGAACAAATAGGTTACAAAATTGTGTCTTTTCCTACCACAAATGATCATAACTTATGATTTTCTTATAGAATTGATTTTTACATAACTTAAAATTATGCTCTAAAATCAAAAGTTAAAAAATACAGATAATCCAAATAAAGACTGTAAAAATTAAAAATACAATCCTAGAGAGAATAGCTATGAAAATTTTGGTGTATATTATTCTAGTTACTTCATCTAAATATAGATATATATGTAAATATATATAATTTTAATAAAATTGAATCATATTATAAGTTCTGTTTTGTAATATCATTTTTTTCTTAATAATATATCATGAACATACTCATTTGGTAACAATAAAAATACATTTAAATCATTATAATTTTAAAGACTTCATAGAATTCTAGTATATCTGTTGCCATAATTTATTTAACCAGTATCTTATTGTTGGACATTTCAATTACCCCAAGTGATCTTCATCATAATTAATACTGTGATGAACATCTTTATATCACATTGAAACATATATAATTTCTGTTGTTATAGGTCCAAATGGTCAAATATTGGCAATTTCATATTAGTCAACATAATACATACAACACAATGGGTCTATGCCAAACTCTGATTATTTCATTTGGATAAATTTCTAGAAGCAGAATTACAGGATCAGAAGATATGCACATTTCAAAAGCTTACAATATATTACCAGATTCAGAATTAACCTTTATTACTTTTTATTTCTGAAGCATCTCTTCTTTATTATCACGAGAGGCTCTTGATGGTATTGTAGAGAAAAATACAAATTAACTAGTATAAAATGGATTCATCTAATGTTTTAACAATAGCTAACTATGACAAAAACAAAGTGTATATGTTTTATTAAGTAAAAATAAACTTTCATGAGATGCTTTTCAATCTCATACACTTATTTCAATCAATCTCATTGCAACCAAAGAATTTGCGTTTCCCTGAAATCTACTCTTCTTTTTTTAGCAAGTGTTTTTTATTATTTAAAATTTATTTATTTTTGAGAGGGAGAGAGTGAGAGAGAGAGAGAGAACTAGTGGGAGGGGCAGAGAGAGAGGAGATAGAGAATCCCAAGCAGGCTCCATGTTGCCAGCACAGAGCCCAACATTGGCCTTGAACTCATGTACTACGAGATCGTGACCTGAACTGAAATCAAGAGTCAGACACTTAACCAGCCAAGCTACCCAGGCTCCTTTTATCTGAAATCTACTCTTGCTGTCCAACAAGAATGTTTACATTCTTTATTTGAAGTATCAGTTAAAAATCTCAGTTGAATTATTACAGTGAGAAATACTACAGTCAATCAAGTTGTCCTAAGTATTGTATAACAGGTAGATTCCACCTGTTTTTATTTCCTGAAAACTGGTATTGTACTAGAGGATATGTCTTGAGAACATGATTCTTTATAAAATAAAAATGTTGCAGAAAAAAGTCAAGTATAAGACAATAATGTCTAAAAAATTTTAAAGGAACATAGATCTTTATGCAATCTTTAAAAGGAAAGGGAGGGGCGCCTGGGTGGCGCAGTCGGTTAAGCGTCCGACTTCAGCCAGGTCATGATCTCGCAGTCCGTGAGTTCGAGCCCCGCGTCAGGCTCTGGGCTGATGGCTCAGAGCCTGGGGCCTGTTTCCGATTCCGTGTCTCCCTCTCTCTCTGCCCCTCCCCCGTATGCTCTGTCTCTCTCTGTCCCAAAAATAAATAAACGTTGAAAAAAAAATAAATAAATAAATAAAAGGAAAGGGAAAACATGTAAAGTTATCTAAGTGTTGTTTTCAGGTATCTGAATTGAATATCACAATAAGGTAATGACCAGTTGTTCTAGTCTGAATTAACCCTAGAATATGAATAAATATGAATAATAAGAAAAGGAGGAAAGGTCAGAGAAGTGTATTAGATTAAATATTTGACACAAACTCTTTACTCCACATTGCATCCATACCCACTGCCATTTGAATTTGCAGTTCCTCCTATTAAGGCCAAGTGTATTTCCTTACCCTTTGAATTTGGGCTCAGCCATATGACTTGCCTTGGCTAATGGAAGATATATAGAAGTGATAGTGTGCCAGTTCTAAGCCTAAATTTTAAATGCTTTTTTTTACATTTATTTATTTATGAGAGACAGAGAGAGACAGAGCATGAGCAGGGGAAGGGCAGAGAGAGAGGGAGGCAGAATCAGAAGCAGGCTCCAGGTTCTGAGCTGTCAGCACAGAGCTCAACGCGGGGCTCGAACTCACAAACCGAACTCACAAACTGTGAGGTCATGACCTGAGCTGAAGTCGGACGCTCAACCGACTGAGCCACCCAGGCGCCCCAAAGCCTGAACATTAAAAGGCAATACTTGTTGGAACCTGGATGGGTCAGATGGTTGATTTCACTCTTGATTTCACTCAGGTCATGATCTCACGGTTCATGAGTTTGAGCCACACACCAGGCTCTGCGCTGACAGTGCCAAGGCTGCTTGGAATTCTCTCTCACTCTCTTTCTGCCCTTCCCCTGCTCACACACGTTTGCTCTCTCTCTGTCTCTCTCAAAATAAATAAATAAAAATAACTTTAAAAAGGCAATGCATGTTTTTACATGTGTGTGTATATGTATACACTTTTTATTGATAAATAATTCACATAGTGTACAATTAACCCATGTAAAATATACAGTTTAATTAATTTAATGATGTTTGGTAAAACACAGTTGTGCAATGATCACCATATCAATTCTTGGAATGGAAGTACTGGATCATATAGTAACCATGTTTAACAATTTCCTCAAATGCTTTATTTTTTTAATGTTTATTTTTGAGAGACAGAGAGACAGAGCATGATCAGGGTAGGGGCAGGGAGAGAGGGAGACACAGAATCTGAAGCAAACTCCAGGCTCAAAGCTGTCAGCACAGAGCCCAATGCAGAGCTCAAACTCACAAACCATGAGATCATGATCTGAGCCAAAGTCAGACACTTAACCAACTGAGCCACGCAGGAGGCCATCAAATGCTTTATAAAGTGGCTACACCACTCTACATTCCCACCAGCAATGTACTGTTTTTTCCATATCTTCACCAACACTTCCTATAATCTTTTTGATTTTGGCCATTCTATTGTGTGTGAGGCGGCATCTCACTGTGGTTTTGGTTTGCATTTCCCTGATAACTCATGATGTTAAGCAACTTTTCACGTTGTTATGGATGATTTGTATAACATCTTTGGGAAATGTCTATATAGATTCTTTGTCCACTTACCTCTTGTGCCTCTGCCATGGCCAGTAGAACAGCCTGCCCTGGGTATCCAGTACACCCCGAATGAAAACACTTGGACCAGTTAAGAGTCAACCAGCAGCAATGAGCCAACCCCAGTCAGACCTATGGCTTGAGGCATAGCCTCCTAATCCATCTGCCCAGATTAGACAACCCCTAATTGACATATAAGAAATACTTTTATTATTGTGCCCCACTGAAATTTTGGGCTTATTGTTACTCAGCAAATAGGTGACATTACTAATTACACTTAGTAACATCTTTCTTTACCTCCTACCTCCTTTCTGCCTCCAAAAATAAAACAGGTACATACCCTCTACCCTTAGAATATTTTCTGACAGCTCTCTAGGTACTTTTCAAATTATCTCACCCCACACTTATTACTACATTGCTACTACTTCCTTTTAAGAAGTTCCTGAAGAATAAAACTAATTCGATAATAGAAAATTTTAAGTCATCTGAATATACAGTAGTATTCTATCTTCATGTAATACTGTTAGTACTTAATTATGTCTTCTTTATACCCACTCACCCTTGTGACTGAGCACTCCTACTCCACCAAAAAGAAAAACAAATTGTCCCAGCTGAGAACAATGTCACTTTTCTTCCTTTGCTCCTTACTACTAAGTGTTCCGGGATGTTTTCACCAATCCAGGAAACTACAAACAGTTAAAAAAAATTTGAATATGACTTTCATATCCAGTAATACTGGGTATTTATAGCAAGTTGTTGCCAAATATCCTCCCCTTGGAACATGCACCGAGTAAACAGGAGACCTGAGGAGAGGGATGGAGAATAATAAGAGATGCAAGCCAGGTAAATTTAAAAAATAAGTTCACCAATGAAATCTTTTTCAGTGGAAGGAGCCACTCTAAATCCATCTTTACTGCTAGCTTTACTTGTTAGCCTAAAATTGAGGCCCGACAAACTATGAAAAAGAGGAGCCATTAAATAGAGTGGGCAAACTGACATCAG